TCTCCTGCCTTGCGGACTGTGGGATTTTGACAATGCATTGGATTTGCTGCTCGCCTTTTGGTGCTCCTGGGTGTTTGTTTGTGCGGAGCCCATAGTAGGTGGCGGTGTTTGCAATGCTGGGAACAAGCTGGTGCAAGTGCTGCTTGATGGTGTGGATGGGTTGGTCCGCCAGCTTGTCAAAATCTTGCTTGGCCATGAGGCGGGAATCAGCCTCCAACACCAGTTCAGTGATGGCAGAAGTGGTCATCTTCAGCTTTGGTGCTTGTAGCTGGTACGTTGCTTTCCCAGCAGCAACATGCAGCAGCGCAAGACGTTTGTATGCTGTCTTGGTCATCGAGTCGTCAACAGTGATCTCATGAGGCCCTGTGAACTCCTGGTAAAGCCCGGCAGGCTTGGTGCCATCAGATGTGGGGATCAGGATTGCAAGGTCAATGCCGCCAGCTGCACGGAGGAGCTCAGCGACGTGTGTCTTTGTCGCGAGGACAACGCCCGCACGGGATTGTGATACTTGGAGTCTGTGAACTTGCTTCAGAGGCTTGCCATCTGCCCCAATAAAGGGGATGGGGTCCTGCAAGCTCAAGTCCTCCCACTTGGATTGAGTGGGTTTGGAGCCCTTGCGGAGCCATGGGTCGTTCTGCATAAGGATGTCGATGGCACCGCCATGAGTGGTTGTAGGCCCTGGTGATGTTGTTCCGGTGGCAGAGGAAACTTCCATGGGGCTGGCAGTCTGGGCGCCGGCGGCAAGGTAAGTGTCAGGAAACTGGTTCCTGGTGACTGTGAGGAGGAACCAGTGTCTTGCGTGCAGGGCAAAATCCCGCAGGTGTGGTGGCGCGTTGGTGTTGAACCAGCGGGCGACAGAGTGCTGGGTGATGTGCCCAATGGGTGCTGAGTGCGGTCCCTCTTGCAGCTCCTCATATTGTTGGAGAGCAAGTGTGGGAAGCTGGATGCTAAGTCTGTTGTAGAGGTTCAAGACCAGTTGTTGGCCGCGCATGCCTGGTGGGTGGTATTGCTGCATGGTGTGCGCCACAAATGTTACCTCATTGTAGCCAAGAGTCTGGCGAAGCTGCTGAATCAGAGGTTGGAACCGCTCGAAGTCAGTGCTAGGGACTGTGAGATAGAGCGTGGCTCGGTGCTGTGTCTTGTAGCATTCCGCCTGGAACCAGTGCTGGTCTGTTTCAATGATCCAGACAATGTGCTGGTATGGCTTGTACACTGGTGTGGGAGCCGCAAGCTCAACGACTCGGTTGCTGAGTTCCAGGTTGCCGGAGGGCAGAACAAGGTGTTCGGCACCAGCGATCTGGGTCCCTCTAACATAAAGTCAATCTCATCGGAGTGCATCCATGTTGGATTGAGCTGAATGTGGAGCAGTCTGGTGTTGATCCGGAATTGGATCTGGTGTTCCCCTTGGGTGTCCTGTTGGGGTTCATCAACAGGGAAGGACGTGTGCAGCTGCCTTTGGTTTGCAATTTGCCCATTGTTGGATGTCCTGCGCAGCAAGGAATAGAAGAATTCCTGCGGACTCGAAAGGCAAGTTGCCTCAGGGCTTGTGGCGCTCCAGCCGCCGTCCAGTCTTCAACCGCTGACTGCAAGACGATGTCGATCATGTCACGATGATTGGCTGTCATGGGGTTGTGTGTGTCCGTGGCAGCCAAAGTGTCCCTGACCTCATGGTCACCAGCCCATCGGAAAATGAGCTCCCACCCACATAAATGTGGGTGCATGTGGAGTTGTGGTGAATGATGTTCATACGGTGTGGTCCAATGTCAAGGAATCTGGCAAGGATCATGATGATCCTGGTGTGGAGATGCTGAGGCACCTGAACAGTGACAACTGTAATGTTGTTGGTCTGCTGCGCTGATTTGATCACCTCAAGCGCGCACCAATGATCACCCGCCAGGATGGGAATGTAAGTGGTGCCATGGTCCTGGACCATCATCGGCCCAAAAGGCGCTTCATCGAAGTCTGACTGTGTGGGGTCCCAGTAGACTGGTGGTGAGTACTGGGGTCCTGCAGTGGTGGACCATTGGAGTAATTGTGTGGCAAATGTCATCTCGTCAGCTGCAAGCCAGCCATGTGTTTGTGGCAAATTCAGCTCGCTGGGTGAATGTGGCGTGTGCTGGCAGAGATGGAGCTGTTTGTACCAGCATGCCTTGGTGAAGTTCTTGCCTCAATGGAGCATCTGGCTGACCAACAATCTGTGTGATGGAGTGGAAAGCACCGCCGATGACAAAGGACACAGTGCGGTCTTGTGGCGCCTCAAGCTTGCAGGCCCAAATACGTGGTCCAGAACCGGCCTGGATGAAGATTGTAGTAGGGGTTGAGCTTTTGACAGAAACTGATACCGGCGTAACAGACAGAGCAAGCATGAGGAAGTCCAAGCTGGCCGCAGAAATCAGTCCCAACAGAGGCAAGACTTTGGATAGAGGCACAGAGCAACTGCCGCTGCAAGGGTTCAGCTGTACACGCAAAGGACACCCCTAAATCCGGGACGCAGAGAACAAAATTCCATTGGCACGGAGTCCACCCAAGTGACAAATGGTCGATGAGTGAGAGAATTCCAAGGTCCTGAAGCACTGAATCGTCGTCTCAAAATCTGCTTGTGCGACAGCCTGTGCGAAGCCTGGACACAAAGAGGCACCTGGATGCTATTTGACGGTGGAGCCAAGGTTGGCGAAACCAGAGGCACGTCCGCAGCTTCACAAAAGGTCAACTCACCACATGAAACCCCTTGAATCGAGAGTGTCCAGGTCACTTGAATGGTCTTGGCTTCCTGGGCTGTGCGCGAAAGGTGAGCAGTTTGGGTGTCACCAATGAGCATGAAAGCATAGAGTACATCAGCTGGTCCTGAGATGGCATCACGCATGAGGCGGTCAATGGTCATGGTGGGAAGTCTATACAAACGCACTTGTAAGGCACCTCCACAAATCTTAACTTCATCAATGTGTAGGTGGTCATGTGACTGCCGAGGTCTCTCCTGAAGCAGTTTGGCAATGTTTTGGATACGGACAATGTGGACCCAACTGTCAACATGGCAAACAATTGCATTCGAAGACGTGAGCCTATCTTTCCAGCATGCTTGAAGCATGGCGTGAACATCAATCTGATCAGGCAAAATCCAAAGGAGGCCAATCAAGACCGGCAGCAAGGCATGAGGGGTAGCGATCGCATTTCCAAGTCCTCGAAAGGCCTCGGAGATCTTGGCAGACAAAATGCAGTCCTCAGTGGCACCGTGCAGAGAGACGAACTTTGCTGGGTCCAGAAAGGCGAAACCCGCCGGCTGCGTGCGCAGGAAAGCGAACACCCCCTTAGCTTCTAAATGCTTGCAATCTAGCTCATGCTGAATCGTGTACGAAGCGCGCAAAGTGGGCAAGGGTTCACTTTCTTTGGGGATCCTGGCGGACAGGACTTGAGTCTGTGAGGCGGTTCCCTGACCAAAAATCACCCGTTTGGCAGTCGGCAAGAAGTCCACATCCCCGTAAAACTTCCTCTCGGATTCGGACAACAGCAGCTGCTCCTCCCAAACCCTGGGAACACGGAACTCGAAGTCAGGATCACTCCAGCGATGACGTGGGATGGCATGTGGTGTGACACGGGCATCATAATGCTTTGCATCCAGGTCAGCTCGGATCCATGTGGCCAACCACCTAGTCCGCATTTGCGGGGACATGTGATTGAGTGGCGCCACTTGCGACCACACAAGGCGGTAACCCATCAACTTGGCAACATGCGTGAGAAGGCCAAAATGCTCATGCTGTACGATGTCATCTGCACACTCCGCTGTGAGGATATTGACCTGCAGCTTAAACGCAAAGATCAGCCCGCTGATGAACAACCATCCATTCTCGCAAGACAGCCCTTGGTGCCTTCCGCCTTTCGACCAGGGCTGGCATGGCGGACTCATGGTCCCCAACGAATTGACCTGCGCTTGACACAAGGTCAAAATAGAGTTGTCAGCAATCGGTGCCAGAATTCCAACCTCGCCAGCAGATGTCCATGGTTGGTCACACGGCACCGGTGCATGGAACAACTTGGATTCGTGCTTGCGTTGCCAGGTTCTCATAACATCTTCGTCAGCATCGATAGAAATGTGCCTGCCACAGATTATGGACTCGCCATGGAGGGACAGCCAACGTGTCGCTTGCTCCCAGCCCCCAAAGGCTCCCGCGAATGCATGGATTGCCGTCCAAGTCATCTCATGCTGAAGCTCGGGCCTATAGGTCACAACAGCTGATTCCAAGAAGCTGATCTCATTCTCATTGGTCATTGGTCGGCGAACAACTGGGTCCAGAAATCACAACGTGCGCTCCACACCTCAAAGCGATGGAACGATCGAGGACTCGTGGCAGGTGGATAGTGCACTGTTGGCAGTCCTTGGATCCAAACAGGAACCCATGTGCTGGGACAAAAGGTGCCTGCATCAAATGGATGAAATCATGGCCAAATTCAATAACCTCCCCAGCAATGACCAAACAGTTGTCCAGCTTCAGGCATTTCGTAGTGGACGAAAAGGACTGGAACAACTGGGTCACCAATCCACTGAAGGGCTCACGGATGCTCTCAGGGACGTCAGGAATCGACATGGCTCTCAAGACCTACGAGGAATCTAGGAAAACAAAGGTTCCTCCAAATGGCGAAGGACCTGTGCGGTCCCCCTTGTGGACACCGCGTCCGTGACGTGGGGTCACGGCCCACGGCCACGGGAGGCCTGCCCCCCGCCAGCTCCCAAGCTCGGGCCAGAGGAGCTACCATACCATACCATACCATACCAAAACATTACATTACATTACATACATAAGTATATATATAGAAGTTTATACTTGTGTTTTCTGTTGAAGAAAGCCCCCAGTTGACCATGTTGCGGCCAGCAACTCAGGAGCTCTTTTATGAACCTGTGGCAAAAAGCCAATGTAAGAACCCCATTTGGGGACAAATGCAATTATATACATAAACAAGTAACAATCAGAAGAAAGCTGCGAAAAGCTGCTCTCAGTCCACACGTCCTTGATACAAAGCTTGTACAGGGTTTCCAGTTTGCGCTGGCTTGCTGGATCATGTTCCAGCACCTGGCCAAGTCAGAGCTGTCACTCTTATCCTGATACTCATATAACGTATATTATCAGAATCCAACTTGAGTGAGAGGAATGCCTTTTGTGCATATGATTTGGAGTGTTGTTGCAGTCAAGAAAAGACATCAGCCATGGAAACAACATGGTCACGCGCGCACTGGTTGCCTGGTAAAAAATGAGGCCTGTGTTGTAAAAGCCCTTGTAATAAACGGAGCGTTCATGGAACATAGTGACAAAAAACAGGTTCAAAAACTATTCGTTTTCATCAGCGCGGGCTTTTCATATATAAGTATACGGACAATATAAACATATATATATATACACACTATGCGGATTTTGTTTCTCCATATTGCACCGCTTTGTGATCCACTTGAATGACCACTGCTCACAAGTTCAAAAGCACCTCAGCTCCACATGACTCTTGGTTGTACACCTGAAACGTAACCCCGAGGCGGTGCACATAATTTGTTCACTTGGACGGACACATGTTAAGTGTCCAGGTTCCAGCACCCCGAGGTGAAATGGAACATATCCCCCCTCCCCATCCCCCATCCCATTTTAATCACACGACTAATCGATGACAATGTTCTGACACCGATGACAATGCTGCTGTGAAAACAGTGAAGCGTACGAAAACACCAGGCGACTGATCAATCAATCCGTGGGCAACTATATATACAGTATATATATATATATTCAGGACAGGACAATCTTTTTTCGCTGAAGGCCAGTGCACCACTTCTTCAGGCCACACCTAGCCACAAGGGGTGAACGAATATCAAGCAGCACCTTGTGCACTGAAATGTACTCTGGTGCATACTGCTCCTTCGGGAAGAAGTCGTAAACAAATTTGACCTTGAACACGGCAACCAACTAGGCATAATTGCAAGGGATGATGCACATTCTGCATCTTTAGTGCTCCTGCCATTTGTCCCTGACGACTATGCCACTATGCCTTCATTTCACCTTCAGTCCTAAGGTCCTCACTGCAGCCAGCAAGTACAAACCACATTCGTGAGAAATGCGAGATTGCCTGAGGTTTTCCACCCACGTCTGAGCGTTGAGCCACATGTAGCCGCCCTTTAGTTATTTTTATTTGAAGAACGATGGATGAAGGAAAAACAAGGCGAAGAACGGACTGCAAAACTGCAAAACATCTTGGAAACAAGGCCCCAAAGAAACATAAGGGGCTCAAGAAGAGCAAAAAGAATAGCACACATCTTGCACACAAAAACTTCCAAAGAATACCAAGAGACATCACGTTGTCATAGACCAAAGCAGAATTGTTTGGAGTCGCCTGCGACCCGATTCTAGATCCGATCAAGAAGTCAGTGTCACTGTCATGTATAAGTAGACAGTCATCATCACAAATCTCTTGACTGCATGTGCCAAGCCTTCAAGAGTGTTGAGTAGAGCAAAGACCGCTTCAGGCGTTCGACCTGGTGTTGAGTGTGGACTCTCCCCTTTTGGACCCCTGCAGGCGATTACACATCACGCCCCCAAAGACTTGTGTCAGTCATGGCACACAACTCTGGTCAGAGGCAACAAAGGCGCTTTACAGAATGACACCGTGCACTGTTTGGTGTGACGCGCAAAAAGGAAGTTGACTTGACCCGCTGCTTCCCGTTCCTCCCTGTACAATTGAACGGGACCACCTACACCGCTGGAGTCAAGAGCTGGCTGCTTTTGAGAATTTCTTTTTGAACATATATACCGTTGCAAAGAGGTGCACTTTAAAGAGAAAGCATTTCTGCGTGTATCAAGGCTTAGCAGCCAGCCAGGTCTTTTACATCATTTTTTCTTTGCCTGTCTGTTATTTTATGTTATTCAAATCATTTCATTCTTATTGCATCAGGGGCAGTCAAGTCCATACTCTAAGGCCTCACTAGTAGATCTAGTAGAATGGAGCATGGTATTGCAACGCACTGCAAGCCTCTGTACACTGACCAAAGAGCCTTTTCTTTCGTTAGTTATACTGTATAAGTTTCCTCAAACATCTAGGAACAAAATGAATAGTGCGAGGGCTTCTTCAAGGAAGCTTCCCTGAGGGCAGGGGGCAGCTTCCTTGAAGAATCCTTCTCGCGTCCCAGCTACTGTTACTAGTGGCTAGGTTAATTAGTAGTTGGTAGCTAGATTCTAGAAGCTTCCTAGCTAATAGCTTACTTACGCTCCGTGGGCTAAACAAGGAACAACAGCATCTCGACCCTGTCCCCCACAGCTACAAACACCTCAATCCAATCCATGGGCGAGCTCCACAACTGTTCCCAGAACGACTCAACTGGGACTAGAAAAAAGAACCTATTAGGAACAAGTGCATCGCTTCTAGTAACAAGTGCCTTACTAGTAGTAACAAGAAGCTATTAGAAAAAAGAAGATGTTCTGTTGAGATGCGACACATTCCAACTGGATCTTCCGAACTAATCCTGGCCGGGCCACCTGCTTCTCAACTCCAGCGGGAAAGAACAAGCTGTAGGTTATGACCTCGGCTGAGAGAGCAACCAAACACAAGTAGTCTGTGCAGTCACCATACCGTGTTTGCATGGTCGAAGTTGTATTCGGCAGTTAAAACATGATCTTCGGTAACTAAATTGTCCCACCCAACCCCCGCACCCCCCCAGACCAGCGACACACCCTAGCCGAACTCCTTCATGTAATCTGGATGCAGAGTGGAGTTTCGGAAGATTATTTTCTGAAGCATGCAAAATAGCTTCTGAAGGTAGCGAAAGAGTTTCTGAAGAATGCAAAGGCAAGGCATGTATTGTAGCCATCACAGGGTACATCAATGAGCCCACCCAAACTGCCACCCCACCCCCCACCCACCCATAGTTTCTGAAGATCGCAACATAGTTTCTGCAAGTGGCAACACACTTTCTGCAGATCACAACATGTTTTCTAAAGGCGAAATAATGCGACATAGTTTCTGAAGAGCAGTTGCGGAAGGATACCAAATACTTACGGAAGAAAAGTCTCAGAACAATGAGTTTCGGAATAGGACTTTGATCGTGTTCGCGTGTACTGCTTAGCAAGAAAACAGTGAAGTAGCCAGCCACTTTCACTGTCATTTTGAGAAGGAGTTGCATTGTCCTCCTCAAATGCTAAATGAAGAATAGCCGACGACCTGACATGCCTAACATCTCCATGCCTAACGGCAGCTGAGAAACGCCATTGGCGAAGGTCGTGTAGTAGAACCGTCGGGGAATCAGGCTCAAAAAGCGCATGGATTGCCAAACCTCCTTGAAGTAATTCCTGCAGCTTCAAAGATCTTCAAAGACTCCACCGAGCGCAAATGAACTTTCTAATTATTATGTGTTGATCTGTCACAATGCATTCAACAAACTTTCATAAGACATGCATGCCCATTTCAAAGCTATATATATAATATATATAAGCACTTTTCAAGTTTGATTCTGAGCACTACACTGACGAAACGGCCATCTCCTTCCAGCAGTTTCAGCTGTGGCAAAGAGGACGACAAAGCCAGAGAAGTTCCCAGGATAAGCCTGTCCACACTGGGTCCAAACAGTCAACCGCCTTCATAACATGGTTTCATCAACGATTCCTGTCTAAAGGCAACACCGATCAAATTTTCAATGACTCAACGACCGTCTTGGGCTGAGGCCTCGCCAGGGATGATGTTGACCACAGAGCGCCGAGAGGCCACAACATCTTCCATGACCTAGTAGCGATGCCAGGAGCCCCTAGTAGCTTCTTTGCTCCTAGTAGTACGGCCAGGAGCCCCTAGTAGCTTACAATACTGCACCAAATTCTAGTTCTTCTTCATTCTCTCATTCAAACGTTTGATGGCGGACCATTAATGCAAGCGCCAAGCAAAACTGTAACTGTAGTAGAGGCATAGGTGGGGTGGCATTGTGAAATCAACTCAATAACACTATTCTAGGGGCCATGAATGACCAAGCGACGATCTGATATTGCTCCCTTGCCTCTTTGGTCTTACCTGGACATATTGCACCCAGCTGCTTCAATGATTTGGCTAAATCTACGTCCTACGCGCAAATGCCCGAGCAGTCAACTGACATGATATCGATATCTTTCATCATTTCATAGATATGAATGAAGAAAGGCCTGGATCACAAAGCCAAGTCCGCAGAATGTGCAAAACGGCAAACATAATGATTCAGCCAAAACCATGACTGACAACTTTCTTTGGCTATACTCTTTTGCTAATGTCACGCCTTCAACATGCGCAAACGATGTGCAACTCCCGACCCCGACCCATTCCCACCTTTCAGAAATGCGGAGGAGGCCAAGACGTTCAAACATGTCTCGTTGTCCGAGACTCGAGAGGTTTCAAAATGACCTCGCTCCATACTGTAGATTCCCAATCGCTCCTGGAAAACAGTCCGGACATACTGTTCATCAGTCATTCACCAGTCTGTTGTGCAGCTTTGACTCGAAAGACACCCAAAAAGGACTTTTTGGACAACACCTTTACAACAACTTTAGAGCAAGTGTTCCAGGATAAAAACACCGGGACCATGCGAACACATTCATCCTCATTTCTCACGATGTATGCGCAGATTCTAGTCTCTGGTAATGTTAAAGCACTTCTGCGACGTGAACCCATGAAGTGAGCATCACAATGTCATGTGCAAGCAAAAAGAATCAAGCGCTGAGACATGTGTTTCGATGTTTTTCGCTGTTTCGAGGATGGAACTTGTTATATCGGATCTTTTACCAAGGACAAGTTAGTTGCTGCTTCCAACACGGGAAGCGCCTCACATTCGCACACATCTCTAACTCAGATTCGCACACATGCCTTTCAATTGCCTTTCAATCACACTTCCATCAGCAAAACTCTCATCTCATGGATTACAGGTCTGATATGTTGCGACTTGTGTGAAGGGTGGGGGGTAGGGAGGTCGGGGGGGAGGGGCTAATAGCATGATTGGTCGATGGTCACAAAATCACAGCTTACAGCTGTGGACAACCGATACCTTTCTAAGCATGCTTCCACCAACCTACATACATTTCTCTGCGACCTGAGGATTGCCATGACTTGCTCGTCTGATACAGTATGTTGTGAGTAGTGTGCGGGGGATGAAGGTGGCGTGTGCTGGACCGCCTGCAAAAGCGAGACCGATTCCGGCGCCATGCTGCATTTCACGAACATCAGTGCAGCGAAAATGCAGTGAGCATTCAGATTGGACGTGAATCAACAGAAACAAGTGCCACGCTAGTAGTAACAGGTGCCTTACTAGTAGTAACAAGAAGCTATTAGAAACAAGTGCCACGCCAAAGCTGCAGGAGGTTGCACATGCTGAAACTTCTCCCCGTGCGTTGTATGAATTCGGAAGGCCTCCGCCACTTCTCGCACACGGCGCACAACCATTTACAAACAATCTGTATGCAAACACTTCTTTGTGGATCAATACATACGCACAATTATATAAAGGTGCACACATGGCATTGTTTCATTGGGGCATATGGATAATTATGATTATATGTGTATTTACGTTGTGTCATGCAGCGTTCACAAACACAGTATATTATATTCTATCTTTGGTACAGTTCATATGTTTGCATGCACCAGCATACATTACATGGGTGCAAGGACGCATCAGCATGTCATCCGTCCCTCCTTTTCTCCGCGGAAGGCTGGCCCTTCTGATGCCATAAAGGTCAAGGAAATGCTTTGCGTGAAGTCCAAACCTTTGCTTTGCCAAGATGGTCACCAACTAGTCCCTACCCTGTGCAACTGCCACCCTGAAAGTGGAGCATTCCCCAACCAGCAAACGTGGCGCGCGGATGCTCACTGTTTATAGTACAGGCTTGAGGTTCTGAGACCCTTTTTTGATGAATGAGGTTGAATGACAGCAATGATGAGATATATATATATATAAATATCTTAGCCGCTCTTCGAACAGGTTTTTGCTCTCCAAAGTCG